GAAGATTCCAATGGATGGATAACATTAGCATCGAATGATATGAATCTCAAAGATGGTTATGGACAAGCAAAAGCTGTTGTTGAACAAATATTATATACTGCTTCAACATTAGGTGCGGATATTGTCGTTATTCGACCTTGTACGATATCTGCTGATACTCGAACAGGTTATAGTAATCTTTTCGATTTTATCAATTTGTTATTACTCGCCGAAGTTGAAATGGGATGTATGGTTGAAAATGCTGATTTACAATTACATTTTATACCAGTAGATTATTGTTCCAAAGCTATAGTTGCTTTAGCTATGCATCCTGATAGTGGAGGACATTGCTTTAATTTCTATGGAAATGGTTTAAGTATTTCATGTCTACATAATGGACTTGTTCAACGATTACCTGATGTAATAAAGAGAAAAATCGAACAGAACAATTGGAAACAATATGTATTGAAGAATCTGCCTGAAAATAGTCCAGCATGGCGAATGAAAGAGCAAATTGCTTCAATGATATTCACAAGTGGAAATTTTCAACAAGAAAAATCCGGTGTTCGAATAGAAATGACCAAAGACTTTCTCGAGAAGAAATGTAATATGAATTGGTTCGAAGTGACAGAGCAAGATTTAATTAAATCAATTGAATATATGATTGATGTTGGGTTTCTATCTCGCCGATCATCTTAACTATTTATTGTAGTAGTATTATTCATTCTGCTACATCAATAACATTCTAAGGGTATAGTTTAAAACTGAACTGATCGATATTTCGCAACATTTTTCTTTTTTCTGTTTTGAATATGAAATAAGCTATTGATATATAACCTAACTTGTTGATAGTTGGACATCATTCGTTCGTTCGTTTGTTATGACATATTATTAGCCACTGTGGAAGTCAACTATTCCATAATAAATAACGAGCTAGTCAGCTTCAAAGTGCGTGACAAATATTATTGATTTTAGTATAGTCATGTGTTCATGCTGACGGACAGAACGTTTTTTTCTCGTTAACAATGACTTTTGTCATGATTTTGATTAAATATTATGATGCTGAACCAACGTCTCATTATCAGTGACAATATCGTATTGGTCATACTCTGCTTTTAAAAATCTCGAGAAGTATGGTCACTGCATCTATCTCGACTATTTACTTTCGAGAGCTCGAATACTTTCTTTTGTATATATTTCTATGTAGAAAAATTTTGATGATAAACCCTTTTAGATTGTATGATTTGAATCTATAAAAAAAATGTAAAACAGAAAGACTCTGTTCACGTGCTTTTCTTTGATTCTAATCGATACTTCTAATTAGTACAATAATAATGACTCTGATGTTAATGCACAACTATCAGGACTTCATCTGATACGGAGATGTTGTTTTTTGGGTAGGTGTAGATGTTTGTGTGAGAGGCTGTCGGGATGGATCTTCTTTTGGACCCATGTCTACTTCACAGCTACATCCACATCTTACTATTGAGTGCTAATAAAGTACTATCAGAGCAGGTCGAAGTTACGAAAGAATTACATAAGTATTACAGTAAGCAGTTTATGACACCTTCGACTAATTATTCAAATGCATATGTAGAGAAAATTGGCAGTGAATACAATTGAAATATTGAGAATGTCATCAAATTTAAACAAACAAATAGGGAAAACAAGTACTGAAGAAATCAGACGATTAATTTGCTGTCTTAAACCGGGTGATAATCAGATTTCGAACTTTATGATCAAGAGACTTCCTTCGAGTTATATCAAATGTCCGGTTAATTGTTTTAACCACTGACTAACCAAGGAACCTTCCCAAGTGCTAGAGCGCTTTTCAGTCGGGGTTTTGCGCAT